CCACTTGCCGACCGCGCATAGCCGAATGACGGCTTCACCGCGGCCGGCCAGTTCTGAGTGGACGTCATATGACGTCCTCCCAGAACGCGCTCTCCTGCGCGCCCCAGGGGGCGCGCGCACCCGGCGATCTCCGTGATCGCTGTGTCCTACGGACACAGCTGATCACGAGATGTGGTGAAAGGCCGATCCCACCGGCCTTTTACCACGTGATCAGCGGTGTCCAATGACACGCTGATCACAGGAAAATGCAAGTGCCGGTTCTCGGCTGCACTTTCCTCACGCTGTCAGATCGTGAGGAAAGTACTGCCGAGAACCGGCAGTTGTCAGAGCGGGGATCGGCACCGATCATCAGGGCACTGATGATCAGTGCCCTGATGATCGGTGCCCAGCAGTGACCCCCGCAAGTTCCGATCAGCTGTGCGCCCACTAGCCCCCGCCCACCCATTCCCAGCAGTGCCCCCACCTGTGCCCAGCAGTGCCCCCACCTGTGCCACTCTGCAGTGCCCCCACCTGTGCCACTCTGCAGTGCCACCTACCTGTGCCCAGCAGTGCCACCTACATGTGCCCAGCAGTGCCACCCACCTGTGCCCACCAGCGCCACCCACCTGTGCCCACCAGTGCCACCCACCTGTGCCCACCCACCAGTGCTGTCCACCAGTGCCACCCACCAGTGCCACCCACCAGTGCTGCCAGTCAGTGCCACCAGTCAGTGCCCAGGGGTTGTGCCAGTCAGTGCCGCCAGTCAGTGCCCAGAAGTGATGCCAGTCAGTGCCGTCTATCAGTACGCATCATCAGTGTCACCTATCAGTGCCGCCTATCAGTGCTGCATATCAGTGCCGCCTATCCGTGACCCCTAATTAGTGCTGTCTATCAGTGCCGCCTATCCGTGCCACCTCATTAGTACTGCCTATCAGTGCCCTTTAGTGCTGCCTATCAGTGCCCATCAGTGCCGCCTATCAGTGCCCATCAGTGCCGCCTCATCAACGCAAATCAGTGAAGGAGAAAAAATACCTGTTTGAAAAATTTTATAAAAGAAACAAATAAACTTTTTTTTTTTTTTCAAATTTTTTGCACTTTTTTTAATTTATAGCGCAAAAAGTAAAGTGCCCAGTGGCGATTAAATACCACCAAAAGAAAGCTCTATTTGTGATAAAAAAAATTATCAAAATTTCATATGGGTACAATGTTGCATGACCGCGCAATTGTCAATCAAAGTGCGGCAGCGCTGAAAGCTGAAAATTGGCCTGGTAAGGAAGGGGGTATAAGTGCCTGGTAGGCAAGTGGTTAAACAAGGCCTTTTTTTTTTTTTAAAGCACTAGATCAATGCTTTTTTTTTGATGGAATGCTTTACATTGTAGAGGAGTGATGTGGAGTCTTATTGACCCCGTATCTCTCCATAAAGAGGACCTGTCACTGCTTATTTCTATCACAAGGGTTGTTTGCCTTCCTTGTGATAGGAATGAAAGTGATGAAAAAAAATGTTTAAAAGGACAGTGTAAAAAAAAAAAAAAAAAATGTTTAAAGTGCCCCCCTCCCACCGTGCTCATGTGTAGTGGTGAATGCATACGTAGGCCACACCCACATATGTAAACGGTGTTCAAACCACACATGTAAGGTATCGACGCAAACGTCAGAGAAAGAGCCATAATTCTAGCACTAGACCTCCTCTTTAACTTTAAACTGGTAACCTGTAGAAATTTTTAAGACGTCACCCACGGAGATATTTATGTACCGCAGTTTGGCGCCATTCCACAAGCATGTGCAATTTTAAAGCATTACCCGTTGGGTCTCTATTTACTCGGTGTAAGTTCATCTTCATCATATTGTACAAAAAATTGGAGTATATATTGTGGTTTTTTTTTTTGTTTTGTTTAATCATTAAAATTGTGTTTGAAAAATATATACATTTTTATAAACGGTCCATTTCGGTTTTCGGTTTTCGGCCAAGTGCATCCTGAATTTTCAGTTTCGGCACCAGAATTTACATTTCACCCCTAGAAAATTGTATAATGTATGGCCAGCCTTAGTGAATAATTTATATTGATAGTATGTTGTGACATATTAGTCATTTATTCATGCAGACGTGTAAAATGTCTGACAGCTCCAGTTGTAGTTGGATAAACTTTAGCATTTCACACGCTTACTCTGCAGAGTACGAATGTGATCTCTCCATGAATGGAAAATAAAGTGATTTTTCGCTGTTATTTTTAGCCCGATGTATATTTTTCCGCCGTGGCCCCAGCGCTGAATAACAGCTGACTTAGGACATATTTGTGTAAAAATCTGCGGAAGGCGTACCTTTTTCTTATTATCTTGTCATAACAGCTGATCTGTCAGCGGGCGGCCCATCTATATTTATCGGGTGTTGGGTTTGTTTTAGAGGCGCGGGGAGTCAGCGTGACTTCCAATGAAAGATACTTTGTTGGAGTGTGAAGCTGTAGCAGGCTGTCTAGGAGCGGAATGTCAGGAATCGTGGCGGGACGCCGGCCAAGTTTGCCACATGGATCAGTTTTCTAAAGGAATATTATTCCAAACGGCAGAGAATTTTCTCCTTTTCCCTGGAATTCGCTGCAGCAGAAAAGGTTTTGATTTCAACATAGGAGTCTTCTGTCTTCAGGACGGGAGGCGATCTCTGTCTTTATCTTTGTAACACTTAAAGTTAAAGTGACACTAAACAATATCCTTCCTGCCCAGGCCAGTTTTGAACTTTCAGCACTGTCACACTTTGAATGACAACTGCGCAGTCATGCAACACTGTACCTAAATGATATTTTTATCATTTTTTTCACACAAGTATAGCTTTCTTTTGGTGGTATTTAATCACCAAGTTTTTGCACTATAAATGAAAAAAGACTAATATATATATATATATATATATATATATATATATATATAACATTTTCATTTTATTTATTTATTTTTGCACTATTAATGAAGAAAGACTATTATATATATATATATATATATATATATATATATATATATATATATATATATTAGTCTTTTTTCATTTATAGTGCAAAAACTTATAAAAAACTTATAACTTATATAAAAAATATATATAACATTTTTATTTATTTATTTATTTTTGCACTGTAAATGAAAAAAGACTAATATATATATGTATATTTGGTATTATTATTATTTATTTATTTATTTATTGCTAAATTAAAAATAAGACTGAAAAGTTTGGAAAAAAAAACAACCCAATTTTTTCTTCGTTTCTGTTATAAAATTTTGCAAATAAATTATCTTTCTTCATAAATTTAGGCCAAAATGTATTATGCTCCTCTTCTTTGGTGGCCATATCAGGGTATATTATTTAGTCTGTAGGAAAGTTATAGAGTCCACAAACTATGGCATATATATCGGAAAATCCATCGATCCTGATGTACTGATGGCCGATCTAATTTTTTGAGGCCCGAAAATGCCAGGACAGTACACATACCCCCCAAATGACCTCTTTTTAGAAAGTAGACAGTCCAAGGTATTTATTAAGAGGCGTGGCAAGTTTTTTGAAGTTGTAATTTTTTTGTCAGAATTTTCTGGAAGCTGAAGAAATTAAAATCACATTTTTTTTAACAAGCTGAAGTTATAAGCTGATTAGCTACCATGCACAGCTGCACCAGATTTTGCACACTCCAGTTTCTTTGTTCTCCCTCTCCCAGTATGAACTCTGCTGTACAGAGGATCGCAAGAGGCTGATACCAGGTAAACTAAAGATGCTTACACTGGTTGCAATTAGAAATACATTTAAAAGAGAAGTATGGACAAAGCATCATAAAACTCTGACCCAGAGTCAACTGATAGTGGGTTATTGCCTGCTATCAGCTAACGTGGCAGAGCCTCTCCAGGCTCTGGAAGACTTCTGACAATATTGTCGGGATCTGCCCAACTGCCTGATTGACAGCTGGCTCTGCCTCTGTTGAAAGCTGCAGCCAGCTATGCCCGCTTCCTCCACTGCCCGGCGCTCCAGTGAGCACTGGAGGGGCAGAACAGAGAACTTTGACTGACGGTCACTGCTCCCCACTCCAAGAAGATTGAAAACTGAGTGATCAGTAGTCATGTGATTGCTCAGTGCTCAAGCTTAGATCTGAAGTGGGACAGCTGCAGCATGGAGGGGAGTATGTATATTTGTATTTTTTTTTTTCTTTTACAAACCCTTTCCTCTCTTTTGACCCCTACCCAATCTGCCTCAGCATCCCTTTAACAGGGTCTTTATGCTGCAGTGCGGGAAGAATTGGCCAATCATGTGGCCACTGTGATTGGCTGGTCCCATCTGATACTGATCATTAGCAGAGGCCAAGAGCTGTCTTTGACAGCTCAGTCTTTTTTCTGGGAGCGTGCAGTCAGTGTGCTGTCAGCACAGAAAATTCTGCTGCCCATGGACGCATGTGTGTGTATGCATTACATGGGCGGCTAGAGATTAATGATATAGTGAGTATGAAGTTGCATTGATTTGTGTCTTTTATATATGTCTGGAGTTCAGCTTCAATCAGGACAACGCTGGTTGGGAGAGGGGGAAGAGCTGAGTGGCAGAGATCTGATTTCAGAGCTGGTAGCTGACATTTTCATCCCGAACACCCACTGCCACTCAGGACCATGAAATGTATATATAAGCATCTCTTGGGGTCTGATACTGTCAGTGTCAGTTTGATTACATTTACTATGTGACAGGTTTACTTAAAGTGAACTGCAGCCATACACAGATCTCTCCCATCCTCAGGCTGGAGATGCAGAAGAGGAATTCATAAACATACCTCTGCAGGCTCCTTGCTGTCTTTCCTATATAGCAAACTGGACATTAAACAATGGCGGCACTTAGAGATGGTTCAGCCACTGATCACATTTATACCTTCTGTGGTATTGTGGTTGAGAGTGGAGATACAGGAAGCAGAAAGCTTACAGACCTGGCTTTAGACTACATGAACATGGGGCGTTTGGCCCCCATGCGTTGACTCCCAGCATCAGGTGTCCCCATTAAAGTATCCCTTTTCATCAGGTGCCCCCATCAGAGTGCCCCCTTTCATCAGGTGTCCCCATCAGAGTGCCCCCTTTCATCAGCTGTCCCCATCAGAGTGCCCCTTTACATCAGGTGTCCCCATCAGAGTGCCCCCTTTCATCAGGTGTCCCCATCAGAGTGCCCCCTTTCATCAGCTGTCCCCATCAGAGTGCCCCTTTACATCAGGTGTCCCCATCAGAGTCCCAACTTTCATCAGGGGTCCTCATCAGAGTGCCCCCTTTCATCAGGTGTCCCCATCAGCGTGCCCTTTTACATCAGGTACCCCCTTCAGAGTTCCCCCTTTCATTAGGTGTCCCCATCAGAGTTCCCCCTTTTATCGGGCATCCCCATCAGAGTGCCTTCTTTCATCAGGTGTCCCCATCAGCGTGCCCTTTTACATCAGATGTGCTCATCAGAATGCCCTTTTACATCAGGTGTCCCCATCAGAGTGCCCCCTTTTATCCGGTATCCCCATCAGAGTGCCCCCTTTTATCCGGTATCCCTATCAGAGTACCCCCTTTTATTCGGTATCCCCATCAGAGTGCCCCCTTTCATCAGGTGTCCCCATCAGAGTGTTCCCTTTCATCAGTTGTCCCCATCAGAGTGCCTTCTTTTATCAGGTATCCCCATCAGAGTGCACCCTTTCATCATGTATCCCCCTCAGAGTGCCCCCTTTCATCAGGTGTCCCCTTCAAACTGCCACCTTTTATCAGGTGTCCCCTTCAAAGTGCCCCCTTTTATCAGATGTGCCCATCAGAGTACCCCTTTACATCAGCTGTCCCCATCATAGTCACTGTTCTCCGTGCGAAGTAGAAAGAGAACTGAGCGATCAGAGGCCATGGGTCTCAGAGCCATTGTGGGACAGCTGCAGCACAGAGGTGAGTATGGATGTTTATTTTTTTTTTACAAGCCCATACTTCTCCTTTATGTGCCTATTCATAAAGGGAAGGCCATACATGATCCCCCATCCGCACATTTGCTTTCCATTCATATATCTACAGATGTGGCTGCTCTGCTGTGCGGCGTCCTGCTCCTCCTCATCATGATGTCTAGAAAATCAGTCAGGTTGACTTCCAGAGCCGTAACCAAACAGCAAACAATCAGAATTCTGGTTGATGAAGCCCGATTAGTGGAGGATTAGTGGAGGATTAGTGGAGGAGGGGTGTGGACTGGTCACCAGGAGTAAACTGCCCAATAAGAACAATAAAAACTTCATAGAATAAAGCAGAAATTGGGTAAATCAGTTTGTACAAAGGAGTAAGATGTGACGGTAGTAATAATGTCATTTTGCCAACTTTTGTTACTAGGACCCATGATACAGAGGTGACCACAATCGCTCCGATATCCCTGGAACCTCTGACAATGTCTTCTGTTCATAAAACAAATTAGGGGGAGGATGTGAAAAAACGGTCCCTTTCATTGAAGGTCCTGACCTTTTACTAGTCAGGAGGAATGGGGAGAATCCCTGGCATGTTTAGAACAAACAGTGGGTGGTTTGTTTTTGTTGACTATTGTGTGACCTAAAGCATGGTATTTAACCCGTTAATGCCGCCTCCGGATGGCCCTGTAAAGTGGAGCTAAACCCTCTTATCCTTTACAGCAGTGTTCTCAACCAATGTGCTATGGCTCCTTAGGCAGGCCATAGATGGGTCCAAAAGAATAATCGGCCGATTTTCGGATTGTTAGTGGGTGAATTTGTCCGCCGTTTTTCGTGATTTTGACACATTTTTTTAATTGGTCTTGTTGGAAAAAAAAAACGGCCGATTTTGTCGATTGGCTGATTTTCACAGCAATGATGGGCAAATCGGTCTATCTTTTTACCGATTAAAAAAAATGCACATGAGCCGTGACCTGCAAGAAGAAGAAAAAGGAGAAGATGAAGACAAAGAAAAAGTAGAAGAACATCTGTATCTATTTGTATCCATTTCGGATACAGATGTTTCTATTCGGATACAAATAGATACAATGTTGCAACCGCAATACTTTTACATGTCAAAAATAATAGCAGTGTCCCTGCAGAGAGCTCCACTATTATATTTGACATTTAAAAGTATTGCGGTTGCAACATTGTATCTATTTGTATCCGAATAGAAACATCTGCATCCGAAATGGATACAAATAGATACAATGTTGCAACTTTGCTATACTTTTATATTTTGCCCCGTCTATGGCCTGCCTAAGGGTGTCAAATGGGTTCCTCTGGGGCACACGCCTGAGACCCAATATGCCCTGGATTAGAGATGGATGAAAACTCTGTGATCCAGGGGGGACTCTAACTCTGTAACGGAAGGACTCTACTCTTTGATGAGAAAACTCTGGGGGTGGGAGGCTTCTGATGTATAGGGGGACTTTGATGTGATGGGGTGACTCTGACATGTTGGAGAACCTCTGACGTGATGGGGGCCTCTGATATGAAGAGGGAAAGGAACTCTAATGTGAAGTTGGGGGCGCTTTGATGTATGATTCTGAGTCTGTAATGGGGTGGGGGGGGGCTCTGACTCTGTGATAGGGAGACGCTGTGGTGATGGGGAGCCTCTGATGTATGAGGGGAGATTTTGGTGTGATGGGATAACTCGGACATTTAGGAGGATGTCTGATATGATGAGGGCCTTTAATGTAAAAAGTGGACTCTGATGTGATGGCGGGACCTCTGGTATGGTAGAGGGATCTCTGATGTGATGGGAGACCTCTAATGTAATGAGGGACCTCTAATGTTATGAAGGGACTTCTGATATGATGGGAGGACCTCTGATGTGGTAGGGGGATCTCTGATGTAATGGGGGACCTCTGATGTGATTACACACCTCTGATATAGTGGGGCACCTCTGATGTGATGGGGTACCTCTGATATAGTGGGGCACCTCTGATGTGATGAAGGGACCTCTGATACGATGGGAGGACCTCTGTTGTGATGGGGATTGAAGGGAAGTCGGGGTGTAAACTGTATCTGAGCACCACAAGCTAAAGACTAAAAATTGAGTATTCAAAGTAAACTCCTCTATGTCTCCATGTTTTATTTAGTTGAGAAATCACTTTGAAAAACACCCCTCTATAATTTTTAGCTGTGGCCATCTTGAGTGATGATGATTCATGTAGCATTTACTTCCTGGGATCCATCTGCTCTTAGCTCAAGCATGCAGACAGGAGGGTGTGCTTAGCTGAGAAAACCCCTCCTGCCTTCCTGAAGACTCCTAGGATGTATGACATCATTTGGGCCTAGGCCAGAAACAAGGAAACAACTGAAACTTGAAAAAGTTTCAAACAAGTACTGTAAATATAATTTACCTTCCTATCTAATTACTAATGCCAGCAGCATGAGGATTACAAATAGTTCATGTTGATTGAGAGAGTTTAATTCCACTTTAATAGCTGTCATCCTGTGAGTATGTAAGGGCTATCAGGTTCACTTTAGGGCAGTTGAGAGGGTCCCCCATGGGCTCCCCCAGGAGCAGGGGCCCTTTTTTGGAGGTGTGACCCCTGTTGCTACAGCACTGGATACATCAGTAACTGTTTGACGTGATCTGTAACCACAAGCATTACATAAAACAATAGAGGAGAACAAGCCATTATAGGGGCCTCGACTCCAGAGATATTAAAAAACCACACACGGAAATCTTTATATGTAAACAGCAAAACATACAACCACAATTCTCAGGAGAAGTTCAACATGATTGGCTTGGAGATTTTAACAAGTACTTAGTACAATGTGATTGGATTATAATTTATCTAAAATCTTTCAGTTAAATCAGTAATAAACCCAAAAGCAAACGTTTGTTGTATTGCAGTTTACCAATTCTTAAATTTGGTGGCTGCGTTTGTTTTCTTCTTTCCCCTTTTATTTTCATCTGGTGATCTAGCCAGTAAATCTGTTGTTCTTTTTTTTTAACCAGACCAAGGTGGCCTGCAGATGTAGCAGTTAGAGGGTTGAGACAAACCATTTACCCCTGACAGGGGAGCTCACAATAATCAGCTTCTACAGTATTTATTGATTTATGTATTTATTTATTTCAGGTACTTATATAGCACCGTCAATTTACGCAGCACTTTACATATAGGGCCCTCGAACCCCTTGTGTATTGTATTGTCTCTTGTACTGTCCCCCCACTTTAATGTACAGCGCTGAGCAAACCCTTTGGCGCTATATAAACACCGTATAATGTAATGTAATATATATATTGTACATTCACATCAGTCCCTAACCCTCAAGGGGCGTACAATCTAAGGTCCCTAATTCACATTCATACATACACATACTAGGGCCAATTTAGACAGGAGCCAATTCACCTACCAGCATGTCTTTGGAGTGTGGGAGGAAACCAGAGTACCCGGAGGAAACCCACGCAGGCACAAGGAGAACATGCAAACTCCAGGCAGGTGGTGCCGTGGCTGGGATTTGAACCTATGACCCGAGTACTGCCAGGCAGAAGTGCTAACCATTTAGCCACTGTGCTACCTATTTATGTAAAACCTTTATCCGAAAAGGAAAAAAAAAAATCTGCTGTAACTGATTATAAAGTGTTCCTTGGAGTTTGGCTTCAGTTTGTTAATGTACATCTAACACTCCTCCCAGACTGACAATGCTGCTGTCTACTGTGCCTCATGTGCTCCTTCACCCAGAATGGGGGCGCTCTAATACAGGAGGCATGTTACTGGCCAGATCACCAGGTGACAAGAGAGGGGGAAAAATCCTAGAAAAGAAAACAAATGCAGCCACCACATCTAATGATTGGTAAGCTGAAATATATGACATTTTTGGTTTGGGTTTTTTTTTACCACTTTAATAGAAACATTTATTTAGGAACAATTGCAGTTAAAGGCCAAATCCAGAAATTTGAAAACATCATCCTTGTAGTGGTCCCCCTGCGTTGCAAGAGTTAAATGCTCGTTATGTCTAGGAGTGCAAGAAGAAGGTGTGAATACTTACCATATTCCTCGCTCCAGCAGGGTCCCTCCAGCACTGTGACCAGTGCAGGGTAATGCGCTATCACGCACAGGGGTGGACTGACAACTCATGGGGCCCCCGGGCAATAGGGGATCATGGGGCCCCTGTGTCCTTGCCCAAACTCAAAAAAGCCTATGAAGAAGGTACCAGGGGCATCTCATGGGGCCCCCTACTGACCCCGGGCCCTCGGGCAGTGCCCGAGTTTCCAAATGTTCAGTCCGCCCCTGATCATGCGTTGTGGTGCACTGCAATACAAAAATCAACTTCAGGTCTGTTGAGGTGCACTAGTCAGCCCATTCACATGAATAGCCTGCCCTAATGCAGCAAATGTGAACTTCACTGCCATGGACCTGAGCAGTTGATTGGGCCCTTAAGTTTACTAACAACAGTGTAGTGTGAATGTAAATTTGTCATTGTCCAAAAAATAGGTGCAGGTATTCCCCCCCTTCCGAGTCATGCCTTGTCTCTGCCCCCTACCCACCACTGAGCAGTGTCCCTTGGTCCCGCCCAATACCTACCTTCAAGCACAGTCCCTTGGTTCCGATCCGATTCTATTACGGACCCAAAAAAGGGTCCTGCACGTTTTTGGTGTGGATGCGGTGCAAATAGAGCCGTACAAAATATATGGTTCTAATTGAACCGCTCACAAATCTCATGTGATTCACACAGGAATGCGGTGCGGTTCCCGTGCGAATCACATGCGATATACCGCACAGCACATATGTAAACCTGGGCTAATCCTTCACTCACATCTGAGCAATTTGAAGCAAGTTTATTATATTGTGCTCTTCCACACCTTACATCTCACATCACGACTTGCTGTCACTCCGCA